ATCCTTGAGAATCCTCGAAAATCTATGAGAGTCCTTGAGAATCCGGAAGAATCCTCAGGAATCCTCAAGAATGCTCCAGACACCTTAGGACTTCGCAAGAATCCTTCAGGGACCCTTCAGGAAACCATCCGCTATCCGTCAGGAATCCTTCAGGAATGGAGCCCTTCGGGGATCCTTCGGGAATACTTCGAGAAACCTGCAAGAATCCTTCAGGAATTCTGCAGGATCCTGCAATAATCCAGAAGGGAAAATCATTCAGGAATCCTTGAGGGATCCGGCAGGAATCCTTCAGGGATCGCACAGGAACCATTCGGGGATCCTTCCGGAACCCTTCAGGGATCCTACGGAGAAACTTCGTAGGAATCCTTGTGAAATCCTGCAGGAATCCTCCAAGAATCCTGCAGGAATCAAATCCTTCAGGAATGCTTCAGGACAACTTCAGGGATCCTCCAAGAATCCATCAGGGATCCTTCAGGAATCCTTCAAGAATCGTTCAGGAATCCTTCGGGGATGGTTCAGGACAACTTCAGGGATCCTCCAAGAATCCATCAGGAATCCTTCACGATTCCTGCAGCAATCCCCTAGGGATCCTTCAGGGATCCTTCAGGAATCCTTCAAGAATCCTGTAGGAGTCCCACAGGAATACTTCAGGATTCCTTCACGGATCCTTCAGTTCCAAAAATCCAGCAAGAATCTTCCAAGAACCCTTCAGGAATATCCCAGCATTGTTCAGGAGTCCTTCGAGAATCCTTCAAGCCCAGGGAAGCTGAAGCAAGCTTTCTTGGTTGCAATCTAGCGTTCGCCTTGAAGGATTACAATATAAAGCCGACGCGTTGCGATCAGTCCGCTTCCAGTGGTTGTAATCGGTCCGAAGAGGTTCCTGAACGGTCCGAAATGGTTAGGATCGGTCTTGTTCTCCCTTGCCGGCCTCGGGACCGTCAAAGAACGACTCGGAATGAGAAACTGGTCCTGGGGAGTGGATCGAGACTGCTGGTGGCCGACCTTATTAAATTATCCGGGCGGAAGACGCGACCATATATGATTGTGAATACCGCGATGTGGATACCGACCGCTTTCGGTGAAGCTCCCTTTGGAGCCACGAAACGTGTGAGGGGTGTGCCGAAATGAGCGCGATGGTGCCGGACGGGCACCTGGGGCCTTCGGTGCAGCACCCTATCCGGCCACGACACGTGCGTGGGGTGTGACGAAACGGGCGCGGTGGCGCCATGTGAGCACAGCCACTGGGGCCTTCGGTGGAGGTCCCCATGGGGCTACGAAACGTGGGCGCGGTGGTGCCATGCAGGGGCTGCCACTGGGGCCTTCGGTGGAAACATGTGAGGGGTGTGCCAAAATAGACGCGGTGGTACCATGCGAGCGCAGCCACTGGGGCCCTCGGAGGAGATCCTGATGTGGCCACGACACGTGTGAGGGGTATGCCGACATGGGCGCGGCGGTGCCATGCGAGCGCAGCCACTGGGGCCCTCTGTGGAGCTCCCCATGGGGCCACGAAACGTGTGCGAGGTGCGCCGAAGTGGGCGCGGTGGAGCCGTGCGAACGCAGCCACTGGGGCCCTCAGTGGCTCGTTGGAGCTCCCTACCAGGCCACGACGCGTGTGACGGGTGCGCCAGAGTCGGCGCGGTGGAGGCATGCAAGCGCAGCCACTGGGGCGCTCGGTGGAGCTCCCTGTGGGGCACGACACGACTTGGATGAGAGGTGCGTCAAAAGGGACGTGGTGGTGCCATGCGGGCGCAGCCACTGGGGCATCCGGTGGAGCTCCGCATGGGGCTACGAAGCGCGTGAGGGTGTGCCGAAATGGGCGCAGTGGGTGTCATGCGGGCGCTGCCACTGGGATCTTCGGTGGAGCTACGCACAAGGCCACGAAGCGGTGAGCGAGGTGTGGCGAAATGGGCGCGGTGGTACCATGCGAGCGCAGCCACTGGGGCCCTCGGTGGAGCTCCCCATGGGGCCACGAAGCGTGCGACGGGTGTGCCGAACTGGGCCCAGAGGTGCCATGCGGGCGCTGCCACTAGGACCTTCGGTGGAGCTCCCCACGGGAACACGCAACGTGTGACGGGGGTGTCGCGAAACGGGCGCGGTGGAGCCATGCGAGCGCAGCCACGAGGACCTTCGGTGGAGCTCCCCATGGGGCCACGAAACGTCTGCGAGGTATGCTGACATTGGCGCGGTGGTGCCATGCGAGCGCAGCAACTGTGGCCCTCGGTGGAGCTCCCTACGGGGCCACGAAACGTGTGCGGGGTGTGCTGAAATGGGCGCGGTGGTGCCGTGCGAGCGCAGGCATGGGGACCAGCTGTCAAGCTCCCTACAAGGCCACGATATGTGTGAGGGGGCTGCCAGAATTGGTGCGATGCCGCCATGCGAGCGCAGCCACTGGGGCCGGCCTTCGGTGGAGTTCCCAATGGGGCCGCGGAACGCGTGAAGGGTGTGCCGACATGGTTGTCCTTTACGGTGGGGCCACGAAACATGTGAGGGGTGTGCCGACATGGTTGACTGGTGCGGAAGGCAGGGGCAAGGATGGGAGGAGGGAGGCGCGAGAGGAGGAGGCAGAAGGAGGCACGCGGGGCGCTAGTCCCTCCAAACAAAACTAGGGCCCAGCACCACAGGACGGCTGGGAAAAATCGTGACATCAGGGGTCTTGGACATTGCCTTCAGTGTGGCCCAATATGAACTAAGAGCTTCCAGGGCAGCCTCAAGTGGCCCAAGATCCTCTGCGATGGCCCCAGTTGACGGGCAACGCCGGTCAGGGAGGGGGGCATCGAGCTGGAGTCGGCGATACATCGCCGACCAATCCGCCGATCCCGCGTGTGAGTTTCTGAGAGCGTGGGCTTGAGCTCGCTCAAGCTTCGCTCTGGGGGGGGGGGGGACCTCATTTCCGACCTAATTCAGTGCTTCGCAGGAAGGGGGGGGACCTCATTTCCGACCTATTTCAGTGCTTCGCCCCCCCCCCCTCCAGAGCGGCCCCCCCCCCTGCTGAGCGCCCTCCCCCCTCCCCTCCTGCAGCCCAGCCACCCCCCCCTGCAGAGCGCCCTCCCCTGCAGAGCAGACCCTCCCCCCCAGAGCGGACCCCCCCTCTCCCCTGCAGTCCCTCCCTCTGCCGAGCGGACCCCCCCCCTGCAGAGCAGACCCCCCCCCTGCAACCCAGCTCCCCCCCCGTCGTCGTCGTCGTCGTCGTCGTCGTCGTCGTCGTCGTCGTCGTCGTCGTCGTCGTCGTCGTCGTCGTCGTCGTCGTCGTCGTCGTCGTCGTCGTCGTCGTCGTCGTCGTCGTCGTCGTCGTCGTCGTCGTCGTCGTCGTCGTCGTCGTCGTCGTCGTCGTCGTCGTCGTCGTCGTCGTCGTCGTCGTCGTCGTCGTCGTCGTCGTCGTCGTCGTCGCTCGCGTCATCGTCGTCGTCGTCGTCGTCGTCGGTCGTTGTCGTCGTCATCGCCGTCGTCGTCGTCGTCGTCGTCGTCGTTGTCGTCGTCGCTCTCGTCGTCGTCGTCGTCGACGTATTCGTTTTCGTCGTCGTTTTCGTCTTCCTCGTCGTCGTTCATTTCCACAGGCACCCGGAGCGCCCCGGATCGGCGGCACTGGCCGGAGGCCGCTACAACAGGCGATAGACCCCCGCTTGAGATGCCTCTCCTGGGCAGTGTGGTGCGATCGGGCACGTATCGGTATAGTGAATCGGCGACTGGCCGTCGATGCATTCCGCACGGGAGTCTGCCCCAGGATATCTCTGAGATGGCCCCAGAACAGGAGAGCCCAGGATCGGATCGACAAGTCGGATCGGCGATCGAAATGAATCGGATCGGCGGAAATCGGCAGCCGAGTCGGGAAAAGTCGGATCGGCGGAAATCGGCAGGCTAATCTGCCTCCCATAAGAAATCGGAACTCAAATCGGAATCCCAGATCGAATCGAATCGGAATCGGAAACCATCGAAATCGAATCGAATCGAATCGGAGGAATCGAAACGAGCCCTGCCAGAACCACGTATGTCAGCCCCAAAATGTGAACGTTTTTTATCATGAAGGGAGAGGAGCGCGCGACCACATGATCTCGATTCGCCAGGGTTGACGGCACGGTGCGGTTCTAACAGTCGGCAGGCAAACAGGGAACACAACGAGCGCCGACCTGCAATAGGCAAGCTCTTGCAGTGACCGTGGCCTGAGAGAAACAAGATGGTCGTGCAATAAAACACCGCATGGATGAGGAGGAGGGGAGGAGGAGGAGGAGGAGGAGGGGGAGGAGGAGGAGAACAGGACAGACGCAAGAAAGAGCCTGCTCCGAGGATGGGCTGCCCTCCCCCCCGCCCCGCAGGCTAAATGGCAGCTCGCGAGTGTGCAAAGCTAGTCGGACTGTCCGCGGTACTCACACTGAGGTCCCATACGAGCGAAGGAAGAGGAAGCAGGGATGGGGAGGAGGAGGAGCAGGAGAAGAGAGTGGAAAAACAAAGCATCGAATCTGCAGTCGCCATGGCGACCCCGCCGCCAAAGCACGAAGGAGCGAATCCTCGATGATCGAGCGCACGGGCGGCAGCTCGAAAGTAAAGAAAGGACAACAAACGGGCGACGACGACGACGAGAAAGGAGAGGGGAAAGAGGCGGACCAAGCCCGTGGACGAGGGAACAAGACGGACCCAAGCCCGTGAAAAACAACGACCACCGAAGAGGCGGACCCGAACGGGCACGATGAATTCCGGGGATGCCCACGCGCGCTGCGCCGACGCTCAGCACAAGGCCATGGGGGCCAGAGGACTCCGCTCGCCCCGTTGGGGAGCGGGACGGAGAGGAGCAACTATAGGGGGGGAGAGAGGCAGCGATAGGGGGGGCAACGATAGGGGGGGGACACCGACAGGGGCAACGACAGAGGGGGGCAGCGCAAGAGGTGAGGGGCAACGACAGGGGGGGACTGGCATAGGGGGGGATGCATCGACATGGAATCGGGTCCGTAGCCATTTTGGCTCAAGCCATTTTGGCTCAAGCTGCCTCGGCTCACGCCGCGCTTCGCCTGGGCCCGCGCCCGCCGGCCCTCGGGATGGCCGCTGCGGGAGCCGCTGCGCGTGCGGACGCGGGCAGCGCGGCTACGGCGCGCCGCGGGGCCCTCGAGGCCGCCCGCGGCGCCCTCCTGGCGGCGCACGCCGCCAGCGGCCTCGCAGGAGCGGCGGCGTCCCGAGACGGGACCCGCCTGCTCCGCGCGGCCGAAGGCCTGCTCCGCGCGGCCATTGCGGAGCTCGGCGCGAGGGCTGCGCCGCCCCCATCGGCTGCTGCCGCGGACCGCCCTGGGCGGCGCCGCAGGCCGCGCGGCCGTGCGGGGCGTGGCGCAGGGGCCCCTCCTGACGCGTCGAGTGCCCGCGACGGCGACGTTGCGGTCCGGGACGGAGCAGCTGATGGTGCCGCTGCTGCAGCTGGAGCGCTGGGCGGGGCCCCTGGCGCGAAAGCAGCGGCGCAGGTGCGGCGGCCTCGGCGCCGCAAGCGGCCTGCGAGGGCATCGTCGGCACGGACTCCTGGGGACGTCGCGATGGCGGCGGTTGCCGACGCGTCGGACGGCGGCACCCTCGAGGACGACTCCTGGGCGGACGGCTTGAAGGTCCCTGCTGCGGCGGGCCCTCGCGGTGATGCTGCCGCTGCTGTCCCGCCTCCTGCGGTGCCTGCTGCTGGGGCGGCGACCGAGACGGAGCTCTTGGTCGACGCCGTCGTGGCGGAGGGCATCATGCGGCGCGAGTTCGCGTCGCAGATGGCCGAAGACCGCTTCGGCAGGGAGGAGCTGGAGAGGCTGCTGGTGGAGCGTCGGGTGGCGGCTGCTGGCGTGCTGGCGGCGGCCCGGGGCGCGCGTGGGGATGCGGGGGGAGGGCGATAATGCCCGCCAGCATCGCTGGCGGGCCGTCCTCCCCCTCAGCGTGCTCCACGAGGGCGTCCTCGTCCCGTTCGGCACCCGCGTCCTCTTCTCCCTCTGAGTTTTGCTGCTGGAGGCGGGTCGGCACCGACGCCCGCCTCAGGAACGAACGAACAAACGAACGAATCGACATGGAATCGGCGACCCGTCGCCGATAGATCGGCGATGTGCCTCGGATCGAACCTTCCTGGGCAGGTTGGAGCCGTCGGGCCCCCCTCGACGATCAGTGGGCGATTGGGTGTCGATGCATCCCCCCGCCTGCCTGTTCCCCCCCCTTCTCGCTGCACCCGAAGGCGGCACGAGAGAAGGAGCGGGTACGGGCGCCCCCTCCTCGGAGCCCGGCTGCACTCCCGCTCCATCCTGCCCGAGTCCGGGGCACACGCCCTCCCCGAGCCGGCCGCGGCGCGGGCCCCCCAACGCCGCCTTCCGAGCACGCATCGGCCACGCGGCAGGGGCAGGGTGCGCGTTGTCTCGTTCGGCGTTTCGACGTTGGAGGGGAGGGGGGGCGGTCTGGCTCCAGGCCTCTGCTGAGTGCGGCTGTTGGCAAGAGTGCTGCCTCTGGGGGAGGCTCCACCCGCTCGAAGCAGGCGCCAAAGAACAGCCAAGATCTACTCCATTGGGGGGGAGGGGGGGGAGGGGGGGGAGGGGGCCCGCGCCGATCGGCAAAAGAATTAATAAAATAAAGCTCAAACCAGTGACTGTTTCTACCAGGACACGTTCGGCCTCGAAGAAAAGAATGGCACGATGCTTGCCGAACGTGCCGTGTTCGGGCGCACCGTCGGCTCGCGCCCGAAGCAGTCGAGACGGCGACAAAGGAGCGAAGGAGGAGAAGGAGGAGGAGGAGGAGGAGGAGGAGGAGGCAGAGGAGGGGGGAGGAGGAAGGAACGGGGCCTGCATGTCGCCGCGCGGGCGTTGGAGAGCGGAGGCCATCAGGCTCATGGCCCTCGCGCGGCCTCGGGTGGCCTCGCGCCGACAACCAACGCATGGCTCCACTCTCGCGGCTGAGCCACCGCCGTGCCTGGAAGGATCGCGCGTCCTGTACAACGCATGCGCTGCAGAGGCTATGGCCGCCGCCGCAGCGGCAGGAGCATGGAGCGGCTCCGCGGTATATGGGGTAATGCCCAAGAAGTCATCGAGACAACTGTCCAGAGGTGGCCTGCACAAGCTTACCACCCGCGCGCAAGAGCTACGGAAGGCGCCGCAGAAGGCCTGGTGCTCGATGCTGTCCTCGGCCCTGCAGCCGAAGAGGCCGTGGGCTTGCATGCGGCGGCTCGTCAGCCACCCGCTGAGCGCAGTGAGAATTTCGCGCAGAATCATTTTGTGCACAGCCACCGTGCCGGTAAAACAAGCGCGGACGGAACTCCATATCGGAACGCCCATGCCCGAAGCAGAATATCGGAACTATGGTTGCGATCACCTGACGGGGAGAAAACGTGGCCCCCCCATACGAGCCTAAGACTCCCCGAAGCAAACCCAGGGCCTCCAGAACACGCCAATAGCCTCCAAGAGGCCCCAGAGGTGACCCCCCAAGCGGGCTACCAAAAGGCCAATAGCAGGCCACAAAATGGCATCATCATCCTTGTCCTGCACCTCCTCCTACTCCTCCGCCTCCACGTCGTCGTCCTCCTCCTCCTCCTTTTGCTTGCAGTGGCGGCGGCATCAGCAAGGGCAAGCGCACCATGGCAGAGCGGGAGCAACACTTCATTAGTTACAACACTGGGATCAGTGCGTGCGACAAAGCAGGCAGTGGCAACCGAGGGAGGTACTGCGAGAAGCAAGGTGCAGAAGCGGCAGGTGATCAGCTACAACGCGGGGGGCAGCTCGTGTGAGAAGGCCTGTAGCGGCAGCAACTGGCACTGCGTGTGGTGCGCAGCAGAGGCCCGTCGGCTACAACGCTGGGATCAGCTTCTGCGGGAAGGAGTGAAGTGGCAGCATCCGGCACTGCAAAAAGAGCACTCGGTGGTTCATACTTCAGCCACGTGCACGTCCGGGGCACGTGAGAGCACTGCAGAGCATCTTCGGGCAAGCACGTGGTGTGTGCTGTCTCAGCTGCACGCGAGCATGCGAGAACGCCGGTGGGAGGGCCCGCGCCCGACCACGCCGAGCCCCCGGGGGGGGGGCCCCAGCAGGCCCCGACGAGCCCCCTCCGCCTGGCAGTGCGGCAGGGCCCCCGAGGACACCTGCCCCTCCTGCCGCTCAACTGTGGGGCGTCGGCGGCACGGCGTGCCGCGCCTCCGGGATAGATCTTCTCCCACGCCTGCGCGACCGCCAGGCCGTACCCGGGAACCCCGTTCAGGTCAGAGTTGCCAATGATGCCATACCCGATGTGGCCCACGGCCGACCCGGTCACGCCGAGCAGCGTCGCGAGGTTGTCGAAGAAGAGCTCGCAGAGCGCCTCCGCCTCGCCGGTTCCGGTCCAGATGGTGACGTCGGTGTTCCACCCGTACGAAGCACCCTGGAGTCCGCTTTTCCCCTCTGGCGCGAATCGGTCGTTACCCAGGCCAACCACCCCTCCCCCCAAGGTAACAGTAAGGACCGTACGTTCCGGCGGGGACCCGGACTCCCACCCAAAACGCGCGCCTACTATGGCGATCACAGCGCCCCGCCGCCCCGACAGGCTCCACCCCGCCCAAGCGTTACCGCCGCCCAGGGCCGCAACCCCTTCCCCCCCCCAGGTCACGACCGCAACGGGGAAACGACACAGAAGCATGTCCTTCCACCACGTGATGGGGTTCTCGAAGAACTTCCGCGCGGGCTTGTCGGCGCGGGACAGCTGCACCTGGCAGGAGATCCCAGGATCGGATCGAGGAGCCGGGTTGGCGATCGACACGGATCGGAGATCGGCGCGGAAAATCGGCGGACCAGGAAGACTTCCCTGGGAAGTCGCAATCCAGGTCGGAATCCGAGGCCGAAGAGAATCGGAATCGGAATCGGAATCGAGATCGAATCGGGATCGGGTCGGAGGAGTCGAGGTGTACCCTGGCCTTGTCGGCCATGCTCGTCGGGGGTGCGCCGAGGGGCGGCTCTGGGGCACTCTGGCTTGCTGAGTGCTGCGCTCGGCCCTGGGCCGAAAACGGTCTGCTTGGGCACGCTGGGGCACATGATGATGGTACTGATCTTTAAGATGGTGATGGTCATGCTGCTGCTGCTGCTACTGATGATGATGATGATGCTGATGATGATGGAGATGATGGTGATGAGTATGATGATGAGGATGGTGAGGATGGTGGTGCTACAGATGATGGTGATGCTCATACTGATGATGGTGGTGGTGTTGATGGCCATGGTTACGATGATGACGATAATATGTATGAGGAGGTGATGATGATGATGATGCTGATGATGATGACGACGATGGCGGTGACGATGATGATGTTGATGCTGATGCTGATGCTGATGATGATGATGATGATGATGATGATGATGATGATGATGATGATGATGGCGACGATGAAGATGATGGTGATGCTGATGCTGATGGTGATGAGGAGGAGGAGGAGGATGATTGCGAGGTTGATCATGATGGCGATGGAGGTGATGATGGTTATAATAATGATGATGGTGATGATGATGGTGATGATGGTGATGATGATGGTGATGATGACGATGGTAATGCTGATGATCATGATAACGATAATGATGAAACGGATGCTACTGATGGTGATAATAGGGAAGCTGATGCTGATAGTGATGCGGCTGCGGAAGATGATGGCAATGATGATAATGCTGCTTCTGATGATGGTCATGATCATGACGCTGATGATGAGTGTGATGATGATGGCGATAGTGATGATGATCATGATGATGATTATGATGATGAGGATGATGATGATGACGATGGTGATGATGGTTACGTTGATGAGGATGTTGATGCTGGCGCGGCTAATGGTACTGACGACAATAATGATGGCGATGATGATTAGGACGACGATGATGAATCTTATGATGATGGAGATGGCGATGATGTTGAGGATGATGCTGATAATGATCATGATGATGATGATGATGATGATGATGATCGTGATGGTGATGCCGATGGTGATGCTGGCAATGATGGTGATGACGATTATTTTGGTTGTAAAGCTGATGGTGATGCTGATGCTGCTGATGATGATGATGCTGATGATGATGATCATGGTGATCATGATCACGATGGTGGTGATGACCATGGTGGTGTGACGGATCATGCTGATGGTGGTGACGACGCTGATGACGCGGGCCCTCGCGAAGCAGGTCGGGCTGCTGTGCACTACCAGAAGCTGCATCATGCCGGAACCTGGTCCCGGGGGGTCGACGGGCTGTGCGCGCGCGTGGGGGCACGGCCCGGGCTTCCCGCGTCGCACGGCAAAGGCTGACCGCAACGCGCCGGGACCGCGAGACAGACTGCCCCTTGACGCCCCAGCCTCGCCGCCACGCCGCTGCTCGGGATGCCCGTGCTGCCGCACACCCTCCCTGCACCGAGACGCCGGGCACGCCCGACGAGGCTATCTCCGACCACGGCGTGACTCGGGCCGCGGGGCGGCTGGTGGTGAACATGACGGCGATACGCCGCGGCAGCTGTGCCCGGCGGCAGGCGAGGCCCCCCGAGGCAAGAGGCGAAGCGAGCCCGCCGAGCGGAGTGGCGGGTGATCGGATGAAGCGGCCGCTCAGGCTTGCCAGCGCTGGCTGCAGAGCTTCGTGCGCGTGGCAGGTGCGCTGACTTCTGGGGAAGCAGGAAGGCACCGACACCGCCATTCCCCAGACCTCCCCAAGGGTGCGCTCTGCCCAGAACTTCGAGGCGAATCGGGCCGGGGCGACGGGGGCCTCCAAGGAGGCCCCAAAACAGGAAAACGAGGAAGGGGTAACAAGGGTATCGATACTCGGGGACGACGATGGGGGCAACTAGCCAGGGGGAGAATGCGGAAAGGATTTGGGGTGATGGGGGAGATGAGCTAAAGCGAGTTTGTTTTCTCTCCCTGGATGCTCAAAAGATTATGGATGACAGTGCACAGTGATCAATGCTACATGCTGCATGCTCCTACCCATCCCCTGCCCACGCCTACACTGCAGCCTCGCACTCCTACAGGGGGACAGGTCATAGTTACAAATTCCCGTCCATAGGGCCTCAGATTCCTACAGAGAGCAGCACACGTAATCCCGGGACGCCGATGGTCCACGCCTTCGGCGAGGCTCCCAGGCGAATGCGTACAATGCCCGCCCCTGGACTACGGCTATTCGCCACGATCGTCGCCTCCGAGATACCCTTAGGTCGGGCATGTCCCCTTACAGGCGGATTCTGGAGGAACGATTAAACATACCTTCACAATCATCAGACAAAAATGCTCGAACATTGTAAAAAATCATCCCAACACTAGGTTTTACTATTTTTGAATGTTCCTTACCGATAGGACCACTCTACGGATGATAATGTTGGGGGGGCACAGGGGAGGCGGTCGATGTGCGATGGCTCTGGGTTCCTTGGTGGTTTCTTCAACTGTCCATGTCGCGCCATATCTGCCTATCTATATATCACCCCATCTATCTATCCGTCTACAGATATACCTATCCATCTACTGTTCGGTCTATATGTCTGTCATTGTTTGCCTACATATATATATATATATACATCGATCGATCCACATATACATATACATATACATATATACATACATATGTATATACATGTTGATTATGTTTAAACGTATATATATACACATATGTCGACCTATCGATGTTCACCTATGAAAATACATCTCTCGATCCATCTATCTATCTCTGTATCCACCATTGGGATACCATCGGGAGAACCATCGGAACAACCATCGGGACAACCATCGGGACAACACCAGCGGGACCACCATCGGGACAACCACAACCATCGGGACAACCGACGGGAAGACCATCGGGACCACCATCGGACAACCATCGGGACAGTCATCGGGACAACCGTCGGGACACCCATCGGGACAACCATCGGGACAACCATCGGGACAACCATCAGGACAACCATCGGGACACCCATCGGGACACCCATCGGGACACCCATCGGGACAACACCATCGGGACAACAGTCGGGACAACACCATCGGGACCACCATCGGGACACCCATTGGGACAACCATCGGGACAACCATCGGGACAACACCATCGGGACACCCATCGGGACAACCATCGGGACAACACCATCGGGACCACCATCGGGACAACCATCGGGACAACCATCGGGACCACCATCGGGACCACCATCGGGACAACACCATCGGGACCACCATCGGGACAACCATCGGGGGCCGCGCCCAGGAGGGACAACCATCGGGATACCCATCGGGACAACCATCGGGACACCCATCGGGACAACCATCGGGACGACCATCGGGACAACCAGTGGGACAATCATCGGCACAACCATCGGGACGACCATCGGGACACACATCGGGACAACCATCGGGACAACCATCGGGACAACCATCGGGACAACACCATCGGGACCACCATCGGGACAACCATCGGGACAACACCATCGGGACAACCATCGGGAGAATCGACAGGAAAACCATCGGGACCACCATCGGGACAACCATCGGGGGCCGCGCGCAGGAGGGGGTGGTGGGCGGGCGAGCTTTTGGGCTTGGCCCA